ATGTGTGTATGGATTGGGATAACAGTTGTATGAGCCCCAAATAAAATGATTTTTTTAAAAGAAAAAAAAAAGTGCAGATAGAAACTTAAAAGAACAAAAATTTGCTCTTTCTCCACTTACCAGGGACCCAAACCCAAACCAAGCCCCAACCCCCACTGCTGGGAAGTCGATTCTGATGCACAGCACCTGACAGGACAGAGTAGAACCACTCCACAAGGTGCCCAAGGTTCTGGATCTTTCCAGAAGCAGACGGCCTTGTGTATCCCCACCACCGCACCCCAGGACTCTGCTCACGAGGGACAGGGACAAGTTATGTGGAGTCTGACATGTCTACAAATTTGGGGGCCACTTCAAGGAAAAACTATACCAAATTGTCCATATGAAGTTGTTCGGGTCCCTCCCACAGCCTGGGGGCCTAAACCTCATTTGCTTCCCTGCAAATCTCCATCTGCTCCTTACAGATGCTGTGCAGGCATGTGTGCAGATAGAAGTCCTTCATCTTCGTTGACCAACACCTCTCATTTACAGTTTCTTGGTGATTGCTTCTAAAAGTATGCTATCGGAAGTAAATCTCTAAGTATCATCGATCTATGTCTAGTTTCCAGCGAAAGATCCCACTAACCAACGTAAGCCGTCCAGACAAAAACCCACAGCCATGAGGTTGATGTGGATTCATAGAAGCCCTGTAGGACGGAGTTAGAACTGCTCCGGTGTGTTTCTGAAAATGTACATAGTTAACGGAGCAACCAGGCTTAGCTTTCTCCTGCAGAGATCCAGCTGGGTTTGAACCACCAACCTTGTGGGTTAACAGCCAAATGTTTCATCCACTACACTACCAGGGGTCCTGATGCAGAACGACGATGACAACAAAAAAAAACAACCCCACTGAAGGCAGATTTCCCTTCAAGAAATTGCGCTGCAGACGATCCCTGATTGTAATTCTACAAAAATAACTTGGAAAAAGTCAGGTGTGAAAGAGTCGATGTTTGGACCTCGGCTCATACCTCTTCTCAAAATAAGAACACATTGTTCTAACAAATTGGCATTCTGTGATGCTCACCACCATCCTGCACCTACATGATCACTGAAGACAGGTGCATAAGCAGATGTGGTGATGACAAAGGATGGTGCCCGGCTATTAAAAGATAGAGCGTCTGGGATCTTCAAGGCTTGAAGTTAAACCAGCGGTCATCCAACAGTGAAGCAACAAACCCACATGGAAGAAACACACCAGTAAGTGCGATCGTGACGTGTCAAGACTGGGCAACGGGCACCAGAAGATTCACAACCAACAGTAAACAAACAAACAAAAATGCATTGGTGAGAATGGAGGAGGGTTGGAACGGAGACCCAAAGCCCATCTATGGACCATGGAGCATCCCCCACAGAGGGGGGTCGCAGGGAGGGGGTGAGTCAATCAGGGTGCATTAGAGCACGAATGGGTCATGCAATATACCTCTGTTTCCTGGAGACCTCCCCACCCCCTGTTATCACGACCTCAGTGCCCCCTCCCAATCTAGACTAGACGGGAGCATGTACATAGGTACAGGCAAGAGAAAAAACTCACAACACATGGAACCCAGGAACAGGAATGGGACTAGAGGCACCAACAGGGTAGGGGAAGGAAGGGAGAGGTGGGGAGGGAAGAGGGCACCAATCGTAATGAATGGCACATAACCACACACCCCCAGTCAGGGGAAGAACAACAGAAACCAGAGGGGAAGGGAGCTGGTGGGTGCAGTGAGATTTGAAAATAATCAACAATCTACAGTCTATCAGGGGGCCACGAGGGTTGTGGGAGAAGTAGGGAGGAACAAAGGAGGAGCTGATCCCAGGGGTTTAATGGAAAGTAAATGTCTAGAAAAGAATGATGGAATATATGTACAAATATGTTGGATACAATTGATATATGGTTTGTAACAAGAGCCCCCAATAAAATGGTGGGGGGGGATTTAGAAAAAATTTAAATAAAAAAAAGAGAGAGTCGATGCTATAGGATTCATTACACAAAGCACAAAAGAGTCAGAATTGATCCAAACCCAACAATTCTGCTGCAGCAGAATTAGAGCTACTCTCCAGAAGAGAGTAGAACTATTCTCAAGGCTGCAGATCTTAATCGGAGGAGACAGACTCTTCTTCCCCCCTCGGAGAGCCTGATGGGTTTGACCCTGCCATTAGCAGCCCCGTGCTTCACCCACATCGCCCAGGACTCCTCAGAACTAAACTCTAAACTCCCACCTCCACCTCACTGCCAGCAATTCCATAGCAACTCCTAGCAGCCCTCTCGGACGGGGTAAAACTGCCCCCCCTGAATTCCTGAGACTTGATGGGAGGAGAAAGCCTCATCTTTCTCCCAAGGAGTAGTTGGTGGTTTCAAACTGCTGACCTTTGTAGTTAGCCACCCAACGTGTAACCACTGCGCTACTAGGGCTTCC